ACATTTGTCGTACGACAAATGTAATATGCGCGGTTTATAGAAGTCTAGGAAAGCATGATCGTTGTGTTAGTGACTGCTGCCCAGTGAGAAATGATTTGTCGATCGACGAATCATTTCTCACTGGGTGAGGCCCGATTCTTGAATTCATCCGAAGAAGAAGCGTACACGAAAATTCTGCTCCGACAGGAAAGTTGAAAGTCGATCGGTTGAAAGCCACGCGAATAGCCAGTCTACTTGCAACTTTTCTGCAAGAGCAGAATTTTCGCATACGTTTCTCCTTGGAACAGATTGAAGAATCGAGCCTTTGGGATGTCGCGAGCTTCTTTACCTACAGTGAAATCTCCCGAGTCGACCGTCGATAACTCGCGTTCCTCCACCTTCGCCGGGTGTCCGTCGGACCCTCTCGGCGTCGCCACCGACCGATGACTGTGGATTATCTCGCATCGTCCGCGGCCGAGCAAAGATGGTGCAGCGCGGAGGGACAGATGTGTAGTTGCGCGACGTCCCCATGTCAAAATCGCCAGTGAATAATCGCGCGGACGGCGGCCGATATGCGAGCGGGCAGTCGCGCGTAGCCCGCAGGTGGGATTGAGCTCGCGGCGCCGCGTGAGATCCGTCATCGTGGGGCATCCGGGTGGCTGCGGATTCGTCATCGCGGCAACCAAGGTACGCGGAGGATGTCGCCTTTGTTTATGGAGATCAGCTGTGGCCCCAAAACATCGCCGCGTCACTCCGTCCCGTTTCGCGCGCGCCCTCGCGAGACCAGGCGAGCCGCGCTGCTATTTTCGTCTGATAAAGGTCAACCGAGTGCTCGCGGGGGAGGGACGAGGCTTGCACGTGTGTCACGCACCCGTCCTTTTCTCCGCGCGAGGAGCCCGCGGAATCCGTAGGCGCCTTCTCGAGGAGAGACCGAGGGGAAAAATGAAGAGACCCGATCCCCCGCCGCGTATCCTGCGGCCAAGAGCGAGAGAAAGAGTGGGGAGGCCCCATTATCCCTTTGAGGTTTTTTCGAAAGAAAGGAGATTCGATTCGGGTCTCTCGCCCCCGGACTTTCGTGAAACGTGGTCGTTTCCGCGCGAGTGGCCTACGATTTTCGCGCTGGACCTGCTCCTTGGCTTCGAGACAGCGAATCGTCGCGGCTCCTTTTTTTTATTCGGGAAGAAGCGGCCGAGAGATAGAAGTGTGTCGCGCACTAATATAATGCCAGGGAAACCCACGATTCGCTGAGTAATCGGTCGATCGGTGGAAAATTTATCTCGCGATAAGACGCGCGAGAAAGGAAATTCCGAAAGAAGTGGTAATGAAGGCAGATTGACATGCATTCGGGACGCTATTTGCGTAGCAGCTCGCTCTAGATTCGCGATAAGAAAGAAACGTGCGTTCGGAAAGACACAAAGTAATTTTCTTTGTGCGCAAATCGACGTTTGTTATCGGCAGTTTTGTCGCTACCTTTGTCATTATCTCCGTGCCAGAATTGCGTTCTAATGAGCAGCAGTACTTGGCGAAAGATATTTCCAAACTCGAGAGAGCTTGACAGTGACAGTGTATAAAAGCAGAAATGTTATTTTCGCCGCAAAATGACGAGTTACGTCCTCCAGCTACCTGGGGAATAATTCAATTGTCTTTCACAAAGATTTAATACTTATTATTTATAGTGTCGATGAATATCGTTTTGAAAAGATCCGGGATTTAATCGTTGTTTTGTGTATATAATCTTTCGTGTACTTAACACATTGTATTTTTTAAGAGATAAAATACGTAACAATTAGAAACCGCTACGTTCCTCCGATACTATTTTGAGCTGCCGATTTGCATTGCAGATGCTGGAGAATCAACCATCGACTGGTAGCTAAATAAATTGAATGACATGAAAGAATGAAACGAGAAACTGTCATTACCTGTGTAGAGCCTGACCGACGAGCGCAAACGGTGAGATCCGCCGATCACTTATATTCTTGCGTTCTGTTTGTAACGTGTACATTTAATATGGAAGGAAATAATCTCGGTACAATTGGGAAATTTACTTGTCCCAAGCGACTGAGTCGAAATAAAATAGAATCGTAAAGCTTCTACATGAAACTCGCGTTCGCAGATGACGACGGTACTGGACAGTAGCTATCAACGCATACAGCCTTACGAGGGGCAGGAGGAGGATGCGGACGATGAGGACGATCGCGAGGAAGCGCCTCCGGAATCAGGTGTCATCATCCACGTAGTGCCGGAGAGTAACAAAGCACGATGGAATCACGTCGAAGACCTAGATTCATTCTTCACGCGAATGTACCACTATCACCAGCAGCACGGCTTCGTCTGTATGATGCTCCAGGAACTTATGGAATTAGTGCATTTCTTCTTCGTCGTCACGTTCGTCACCTATCTCTTTCACTGCATCGACTACGGCAAATATAGGTAAAGCTGGGCTTAAGCGCATAGTATTTTGCAACACGGACATTGTGACGTTCTGTGCTTTTAGTGGCGGCGGGGATACGAACAGCACCAGCCACAAAAGCGATGCCATAATAGGCATAGGCGATTGCGTGAAGACGATCTCTTCGTTCTATTGGAGCCTCCTCGTGGTCGCGACGATTTTCTTTATTCTCCAATTCCTCAAAGGCTTATACCACCTGTCGCAATTCTGGGAGATCAAAATGTTCTTTAATACCGCGCTGAAAATCGCCGACGGCGAGCTAGACAATTACACGTGGCACGAGATACAGAAGCGCGTGATAGAAGTGCAGAAGGAGCAAGAGATGTGCATACACAAGAGAGAACTTACGGAATTAGATATATACCACAGGATATTGAGACATAAGAATTACATGGTAGCTATGATCAACAAGTCCCTCTTACCCGTGCGGCTCAAATTCCCCATCATAGGGGAAGTCATATTTTTGACACGAGGATTGAAATACAATATCGAATTATTACTGTTTTGTAAGTATAGTTGTGCGAAATGTGTGTGCGTGACAGTATATGTAACTTTTCTAGAAATAACTTTAATCGCTCCCTTAGGGGGACCGTGGTCACCATTCGAAAATAATTGGCATCTAAAAGAGGATTATAAAAAGCTGAGTAAAAGGCAGGAACTTGCGCGATCACTGTCTAAGCATATTCTATGGGTCGGTATCGCCAATTTCTTCTTGTGTTTCCTTATTCTCTTGTGGCAGGTTCTGTATACATTTTTTAATTACGCGGAGGTAAGTAGCTATGCCTATTCGCAATCGATGAGACTTTTAACACGATAATCAACACTAACGTATGACATATTGTCGACAGACTATCAAACGTGAACCAAGCGTTCTAGCGATGCGGACGTGGTCTTTGTACGGTCGGTTGTACCTGCGTCACTTCAACGAACTCGACCACGAATTGAACGCGCGTCTTAGTCGCGCATACCGTCCCGCCTCCAAGTATATGAGCAGCTTCACATCCCCGATAATGACGATATTCGCCAAGCACATTGCGTTCGTCACCGGCAGCGTGTTGGCGGTATTGCTGGTCATAACATTGGTCTACGAGCCGATATTCTCGATGGAGCGCGTGGTCGCCTACATGACCATGCTGGGCGCGGTCGCCGCGGCCGCGAAGGCAATTATACCCGACGAGAATCTGGTTTGGTGTCCCGAGACTCTTCTAACTGCCGTGCTGGCCCACACTCACTACAGACCGGACAGTTGGCGAGGAACTGCTCATACGCATATCACGAGGGCCCAAGTGGCGCAGCTCTTCCAGTATCGCGCGGTGCATCTGCTAGAAGAGCTCGTCTCTCCATTCGTGACGACATACATTTTGTGCTTCCGTATGAGACACCGGGCCCTAGAGATAGTAGACTTTTTTCGTAACTTCACGATCGAAGTGGCCGGAGTTGGTGACGTGTGCAGCTTCGCCCAGATGGACGTGCGTAAACACGGCAATCCCATGTGGCAGACTGTAGCGCACAGTCCCACAGTCTCACCCCTGCCGGGGGATAGCACGGGATACGGCATTGATTCGGACAAGTACCAAGTACCGATGTCGAATCACTATGCCCAGGCAGAGGATGGCAAGACCGAGTTATCCCTCATACACTTCACTCTGACGAATCCCGAATGGAAGCCGCCGTCCCACGCAGAAAATTTCGTAACTGCTTTGAGAGAGAGGGCTAAGAAGGAAGTAACTGCCGACCCTGATCCTTACAACAATCCTCTGATAGCTAGTCTGAACAGCCTGTCCGGTCTTGGTGTAAGTGCTCGATCTTTCTTTGCTTCACTGAATAATGTTGCCAGCTTGCTTCACGCATTATCAGTACATTAACATTGTCGTGTATTGTTACAGTACAAAGACCACGTGTCGAATATTATTCGAAGTACGATAAATCAAGTGAGCGTACCTAGCATGAGTAACATTTTCACAAATCAGCCGGGTACATCGGCCACATCGGTCGGCGCCGATCAATCGTTTGCCACCAAGTCTACCATTCTACGTCGAGGTGTGTCCAAGACGGAAGGTCCGTTGCACAATGATAAGGGATTCCTATATGATTTGCAGCAAGGTATATCAAATCAGTCGCTAGGCGCTTCTGTATTCGGATCGGGCCACAGTTACGTTATGGAGACGCATACAGATCCGTATGTACCTACAGAATTAACCGCTGCCGACATGTCTCTGTCTACATTGTACCTGCACGAGCTTCATCATAGACAAGTAAATATCTCGATTCTAATTTCGTGACCAAAATTCGCGAGTGCAACGTAACGAAAAACCGTTGCGAGCGACTTTGACGAGGGTGCTCAGGTATATCAACAATAGAAATGTCTGATCTCTAGGTAAGAAGAAGGGGTTACCACGAAATGGCAACGAGAAGTATATGGCAGCGAAGCCCGGTTCAAGAGCTAGCGACACTTCCCGAGGTTAGACAAGAAAGAATACCGCTCCTGTTGCATCAAGATTCCTCTTTGAGGAAACCTAGAGAGTCCTAACCCTAGAAATTTCATTTAAATATCGTCCGATTCGCGCAATAATCGTCATTTTTACAAGAATAAAATGGTTTTTATCTGTTTTCTTATGACGAATCTATGATTTATTTTACGATAAGCGAATAATCGCGATATGCCCGAGATTGGATTCGTCTACTTTCTCTGTATTGTATAGAGGTTATTATGTCTTCTAAATATTTTTAATTACACAGAATGCAGAGAGAGTGTATGCTTCTTTCTCTCTTTTTTTCCCCCCTCTCTCTTTCTCTGTGTATGGCCAACGATCTAATGCCTATTTTTAATGTCAAAGGCCTATTTAAAAGCTTACATTTTATATGTGTATATAATTTACATTTGACATTGTTACATTTTATATTTGGACGTAATGTACAAGACTCCATGTGTGAAGAGTACAATTGATTTAAAGGGTTAGATCCAGCATGGCATTGATAAAAACCTTTTTGGCACTTTTGCAAAAGAGTATTCTCTATATAATGTTGCAATGTTTCCACTTAATCTCTGCAAATTCATAATTTTTAGTATCATTCCAAATTGAGCAAAATGCAGTTGCTTGAATTAAACGTTAACGTCACGAGCTGCCACAAACGTAAATAATTCACTCAATTGTATTTGCTATGGATTTTAATTTTAGGCGTTGAACTAAACATCCAGGTTATTAAGACAACAATCTCATGCTTTTCATTTATTAATACTGACGTTGTTTCAACGATTTTATTTCAATTACACTGATCTTGTTGATACAGCATAATTTTTTTCCGTGTACACAGCTGTTTCTATACATGTAATCAAGCTTCGCAATTATACCTATGATCAATCAAGTAAAAGTTGCAAATTTGTTTTTACTTAATTACGTAAATGTATTAGCATTTTAATGATGTAAATATCGTGTGAGTAAATCTGTGAAGTATTTTGCAATCATTTTTAATAACTGAAGTTAAGCTAGTTTTTCAATATGAAAAAAATTTTTTCTTATGCTAATTTCTGGTGCAGATCTAATCCATTAATTCAATGAACTTTGTTGTGCTAAGAGATATACAGCATATGTCAAACGTTTGTCCAGCGACAATTAGAATATCTCAATTGTAAATGAATTGAACTAGTATAGTCCTTTAGAATGTTTATGAAAAAAAAATAACGTATAATTGTATTCGGAGTGGGAGAAACGCATAATTTACTTCGATAATTTTAATCACCTCTCAATGCCACAATTCTCTAGTCATACGAAATTAATGTCGCGCCGTAATATACTTTTTCTTTAGAGATAAAATGGTTCTATTTATTTTTAACGTTTTATTAGCTATTATATATACATGTTACATATATATAATAAATATTATATATATGTGCATACACAATAAACAAGATATATGTATATATTACAAATATACATGTGTTATATACACGTTATGTATATACATACACGTACATACATATATATATATACATATATGACGGCGGCTGAATTTGATGGCTAGGGTAGAGTCACATGTACATAATATCGTGATGTTTTCAGATACCGCGACAACAATATAAAAGTTAAAGGTATGAGCGCAGTGTCTTATCCTTTGACATAACAGAGGTTGTTACGAAGTAGATTTAAGACAAAAACTTAGATTACCCTTATTCTCTGTTTGTATAAGCAACATCTAACTTAATGCGAAATCGATGATTTTTAAATGAACTAACATGTAATAAGTAACGTTAAATATATATATAGAAGATATGTTTTGCTAAATCTTATATCGATGTGATTCTCACGAGATGAGAAATTATCCTGTAAGGAACATCTGTAATTATAATTATAACAAATAATAAATTTCATAATAAACTGATCTTCCGGTTAGTTAAATTCGCGCAGCATCTTTCTCACACGTCAAGATCAGGCGAGCCTGCCATCGTATTTTCTTCGGCGAATTTGTTTCAAGCAGTTCGTTAAAACTATTCGTTTACGTTATATTTGTTTCAATTTATCGTTTACGTTATATTGATTTTATTCTCATGTTTACAGTCTGAAAAAGCCACTAGGTTCGGTAGATACAAGTCGAATGGTGCTCTCGGACGCGTCCGTGACTTTCAACTGTCCCTCGTGCGAAAAGCTTTTGTCTCGTAAGAATAATCGATGGTGGGATAAAGACTGAGACAAATGACTGGCAGAATGCAAATATGAACTCTTGCCAGGAGGTTGCGTCGTCAGCTGCCAAGTTTTTGGATGCTTCCAAGTACAATCTGCGATGTAATCGTAACATCAGTGAGAAAATGACGAAGAAGGACTTTATCTATGACATCCCCACACCTGTGCAGACTTCGAGAAAGGTATCCCTCTTTATTTATAGCGACTGGAGTCACCTCCTTGGAGGATTCTTAAGGCCCGGTCTACAAGTCGGAACTATATGTCGATCCCTTTTCTATCTGGGTGAAAGAAAAAGGGTCGACATGTCGTTCCGACTTCTGGCTAACAACTCACGGCAGAGACTGGGCCGAAATGTCATAATTTCAAGGAAATTTGCATGCAAGTATCATTGTCGAAAACTCCTGAAGTGTGCAATTTATCGAGAATTTGCTGTTTGCAGTTAGAGGTACAGAAACATCCAATTATCCTACTACGACGAAAAGAGACGAGCTCGAGAATGCCGCATTACAGTGTAATTTCCGAGAAGTTGATGCACGACAATGGTGGCGGTGATGCAAGTTTTGTAAGTATAGATTACTCATCGAAAACTTGTGGCGATCTGTTCTCATTTCCAGTGTTCAGTTTTCAGACCATCTCATAAATATAACTTTGGCTGCGGTCAAGCTGCCGCCTGACACACGCTTTCTCTTCTCCTGTCTTTATTAATAGAAAGGAAGAGAAGAATACTTTGACGCATTTTCTAGTGGCAGCTTGACCATAGTCTCTAAGATATAAAATCGTAATATATAAAAGAGCACATTTCACATTGCACATGTACATTAGCTAATTAAGTTATCTTGGAAAATGACGCACGCAAGATTGGCTGATTTAAAAATGAATCGGTATAAGCAGCTGACTCGCTTGAAGAAAGGACAATGCGAGCTTCACTAAGGGAAGAGGCTCTCTCAAAAGTGAATTACACGTCTCGAAATTAGTCAATAGCGGAAAGAGGAAGGAAAGATAACTTTTATTTCTACTTCTTGACGAACTTCGCCGCATCTTTTCAACCTCTTGACAGATGCATTAGACGGAACGATTAGCGTCAACGACAATATTGCAGCGCGACGACGGGGAAGACGAGGGCGTCGATGAGCGCAAAACGTCACGCGGGATAAAAACTTGAGGACGACATTAAGCCGTATTCCCCGGATTGCCTGCGTTTTCCACGATTTCCTCTCGGTTCATTCGCTGTTTGGCGTTGAAAGCCAGCGGTCTCGGTCGACTTTTTCCCCGCGATTTCTCCCGGGGAGAGACGTCGGAGCTGCGCTCTTCCCGGCGTTTCTTGCGGACGGTTCCGCGGAAGAGCGAAAATAACGTGGGTGTCAGTGACGTGGGGCGATCAGAAACGAGGAAAAGTTTTGCGAAGCGATCAATAAACACGTTGCGAAGCGATGAAATTCAATTTGTCGTACTTATTTTTATCACAGCGATTTCTCCCAGTAAATTTACCGGAAGAAAATTTCCCTGCCCTGCTTTTTCTGATCTTCGGGAGATTGTTTTTCTTCCATTATACGCGTTATTAGGATATCGCAGTGGCATGTAACTCTTTAATCAAATCAAACGTTTAAGCAAAATGCCGTCGTTGATTTCGCATAATGAGACTTTTGACGAGAGTAAAATAATCGAGATCTAATCGAATCGTTCAATGCCATTTTACGAGCGAATATGTAGATGAAATAACTGATACATTGTAAGTGAATTGTAGCCTGGCTCTGTGTAATCTTAAAGTAGAATTAAAGGCGTGCTCGGATTCGAGGAAAAGAGTGAATTGTACACGGAGAGAATTTTCTCTTAAAATTTATCCTGAAAATGATCGCGAGACAACGCGGCATTTCGAAGAATTTCATGAGAGTTTTTGGAAATTTTGCCACACATTCTGCTAGTAAAATGTATGGTAAAATTTCCAAAAACTCGCATAAAATTCTTCGAAGTGCCATGTTGTCTCACATAATTTTCAGGATAGATTTTAAGAGAAAATTCTGCCCGTGTAGCTTAATCTCTAACTGGAGGAAAGGCGAGACGTTACTCCATTTTATTATCGCGATAATGTGTCGATTTTATTTATTTAAAAAAATGGAAAATAATAATCGCCGTTGGACTTTTCAGGCTGCTGGCGCTCGGCGTGTCTTGGGCTACGTGTGCAATCTCTGCCAGGAGCCCATTGCCACGTTGTTCTCTCTGTCGACTCACGTCAAGTCCCACTGCCAGAAATACTGCAAGATATGCTACTGGATTCTGCGCGAAAACGAGACGATGGAACGGCACATCGACAATCGTCATCGAATCGTGCCGAAGATTGTAAGCCTCTAGTAGCTGAGACACGTCGACACGTCGATCCGCATAAAAGTAGAGGAATAGAAATAAATGCTTTGCGAGAGATGAGAGAGATGTTTTTCCACTTCGGTCGGAATGCATCCTGCAGAAGCGTCCCGTATATTCTCTGCGTGTTCTTTGCGCCTTTGAAATGTACGTGTTGCTTTTCGTCTTCCTTTTTTTACTCTCGCCGTCGAGATTCACGTCGCTCAGGTCTCTAGCGACTGGCGAATAGCCCTTCGGAAATCACGATGTATAAAATGTACTAAAAAATCATGATTGCCTCTTGGACGAAGAAATATTTAAAAAATTTCCGAGATGAATTTGGAGAGAGGGGACATAGTTTATATTCGCACGGATAACTTATCTAAGGAATAAATAATTTCATGCGTTTCTCCCTCTTTTGCGCGGATTCTTTTCAAATTTATTTATTCCCGATTGTAAAACTCGAACGACCGCTCCGCGAGAATCAGCTTTATTTTAATACCCTACATTTTAGTCGCTGCGATTATGTATACGAGATTGCTGTCAATTTAAAGTGACTTAACGAATTGCCACTAATTCCCGCGATGGCAGCGAGCCATTTAGCGTTAAATAAATTGGCCATTGTTCCGCCTGTGCTTTATTGCTTAAAATATTCTCGCACGCGAATCGAAAAGAAATTAGGCTAATTGCGCTCCCGCATGCTAATCAACGTAATACAACAGCCTCCGCATGGCACTTCCGGTTTTCGTCGCGCGTATGTGCGCGACGCGCTGAAACAAATTACACGCTCGCTGAGCGTCTTTAATTCCACTTCCCACCAATTTTCGTATCTGCACGGACAGAATTTTCTCTTAAAATTTCTCCTGAAAATCATCGTGGGACATCGTGGCATTTCGAAGAACTTTATGAGAGTTTTTTGAAATTTTTTATTTATGTTTTTTTAAATTATATAATATAAATTTTATATAATTATATATATGATTATATAAAAATAATGAAATAGATAAACTACTAGTAAAATGTATGGTAAAATTTCAGAAAACTGTCATAAAGTTCTTCAAAGTGCCATGTTGTCCCACGATTACGTGTTTTTCAGGGTAAATTACAAAAGAAAATTCTCTCCGTGCAGATGCTCGCTCATCGCCGTTGGCCGAAATTGCAAATCCAAATATTTTTATCAACGTCTAACATTGCTTTATAACATTGTTTTATAACATTGACAGCATCTAATATTACTGTATCTATTATAACATTCGTACAATATTATATACCTGACTTGTTTTTCGAAATACGTCCGAAGTCTTTCTAAGCTATCGCTTTTCCTGCGATTGATTCGACCTAACGTATGTTACGGAAAAGATGTAGCGTGCACCGAGTCTATGCTTTTAGCTGCGGTTCACTTGATGCTGCAAATGCTTCAAAGCTTTCTTGCTCTAAAGAAAAGAGGAGGAGGAGAAGAAGAAGAAGAAGAACGCGCCAACGCATTTGCAGCGTCAAGTGGATCGCAGTCTTCTACGTCTATGGATTAGAAATCGGACGGTTGTAAAACTGGGAAACTTCGAAGTGCCCGCGGGCGACGGCCGAAGGGCGGGGGCAAAGTCCCCGAACATTCTTACGTTCACGCGTATTAAACAAAAGCGACGTCGCTGCCGAAGGCAGTCGCGAACAGTCGCGCGCGGCGCGTACACGTGTGTATGTAAACAAGACTCAATCGCGATGTTTTTTTGCTACTACGATCCTTCGTCGCGCGCGTAGTGAACTAGTTAGTACGTAGAAGTCTGTGGTTGTCTCCCGTCGCGTCGATCGCGAGTTCGCGTGTCGTAAAAGAAAAGATCGCCGTCAATCCATTCGAAAATCGCGGGCGGAAGAGAGCCAGCCAGAAACAATTCGACATCGATCGACGAGCAAATACATTTCTCGCTGGGAAGACGTGTGTGAAAGTGACCTGAGTCTGTGAAAGTGAAAGAGTCCCGTGAGAGAGGAATCCTGCAGATTTCAAGAATCCAGCGGGACAGTTTCGACCGATAGACTTGTTAATCCCTGGAATTTAACCCAGGAAACATAGAACATTGCCGCGATATTGCAGCAACGTTACAGCGATACTGCAATTCCCGGTGTTACTTCCGCAAAGCGCGATTTTAGTTATTGCCTGCCTCTCCGCGATATTCGTAATTGGCGGTACATCGCGACTCGCGCGACGACGTGAAGTTGCCGGCGCGTCCCTCGCCGCGGCAACTTCATTCCGATCGACGTCCGCGGAGGCGAACAGTGCGCGCTACGCGATGCGGTGTGTTTCGCGCGGTTTTCGCGTATTTCTTCGTCCCGCGTGCACCGCGCACGCACAGAGAAACACGGGAGAGTCGTCCAAAGTGTCGGGAGGGTCGCGTGAATTACGGCGTCGCGTATAAATGGCGCGATCGCGATCGCGCGGGCGAGCGGCACAGTCGGCGGGTGAATCGACAACGTATCGTCTTCGGTTCGTACGCTCGTTTGTTCGCGTTTACAGAGATTCGTGGCGTTGTTTTTTTTCGATGCGTTCCATTCCCGCGAAACGGGATAGTTGCTTCTTTGCGATGTCCGAATCCGCGGTCTGTATATTGCGACTCGCGCGTCGGCGTGAAGTTGCCGGCGCGTCCCTCGCCGCGAGACGCGCGGCAACTTCGCTCCGATCGACGTCCGCGGAGGCGAACAGTGCGCGCTACGCGATGCGGTGTGTTTCGCGCGGATTTCGCGTATTTCTTCGTCCCGCGTGCACCGCGCACGCACAGAGAAACACGGGAGAGTCGTCCAAAGTGTCGGGAGCGTCGCGTGAATTACGGCGTCGCGTATAAATGGCGGGGGCGAGCGAAACAGTCGGCGGGTGAATCGACAACGTATCGTCTTCGGTTCGTACGCTCGTTTGTTCGCGTTTACAGAGACTCGTGGCGTTGTTTTTTTCTCTTTTCGATGCGTTTCATTCCCGCGGAGCGTGATAGTTGCTTCTTTGCGATGTCCGAATCCGCGGTCTGTATATTGCGACTCGCGCGTCGGCGTGAAGTTGCCGGCGCGTCCCTCGCCGCGAGACGCGCGACAACTTCGCTCCGATCGACGTCCGCGAGCGTGAACACACCGCGATGCGGCGGGTTTCGCGTATTTCTTCGTCCCGCGTGCACCGCGCACGCAGTGAGAGACACGGGAGTGCCGTGTGAATTACCGCGCCGCGTTTAATTAGCGCGATCGTGTTCGCGCCAACGGGGTGTCCGGAGCAGCGGAGCAGCAGTCGGCGCATGGACAATGGCGGCATATCATCGCCGGTGAGTCGACTCAAGCATTCATTTTTTGTATTCACAGAAATAATTAGCGTGCATGGTACAGTCTCGATTATATGCGACGTGCTATCCGCCGGTGACAGTTTTACCGACAGTTTCCTTAAGTCAGAGCTGTCC